CTCACACACACACACACACACACACACACACACACACACACACACAAACACACACACGGTGACACACAGCGTACAACTGCATGTGACTCTCAGCACCGTCCATGCCAGTGATTGCTTCGTGTGTGCTGTCATAAGCTGTGGTCATGCTCTCATCACACTGTTATATCATGTGTGTGCTCTGGGTGTGATATTATACAGTGTTCATGCTCTCTATACTCCAGCTGTTACACTGTATGCACATTGTGTTTCCACTGTTATGTCATGTGTATGCTCTGATCTTCTTGTTACATTGTGCATGCCCTATGTGTGCTCTCTCGTGTTTCGGGCATGTTTAGTGTGCAGAGTTATGTGCAGGCTCTCTGTTCACACTTACAGGTTTTTGCTGACCCCAGACAAACTACTTCCCCTTCCTCCTCTGTGCCCCTCTCAAGGACAGTAAATGGTAAGCTAAGAGCCAGGTCCTCGGCCTCACTCCTGGCATGTAGGTGGCTAACATTTGAATCAAATGTCCCTGCACCCATACCCAAGGGACAGACTGAGTGCAGCTGTATCATATACCTTGTGCAAGGTCCTAGGATCTCAATGTCCTGACTCACAGAGGGGAGGAGTGACCAACATTCATTAAGTCACTTTGAGTGTGGTAAAGTGCAGACTTCCTGGATTGTCCTTGGCATTCACAGCAGCCTCTGTGGTCAGTACTGACTGACCTGTGTCCTGCCTGGCTTCTGGGACACACTCCACGCCCCTCTAGTCTTGGGGCTCTGAACTTCAAAGCCCAAATGGGGATCCTAAAACCTCTGGCAAGTTAGGTCCTTGTCCCCAGGTCCTACCTCCTGGGTGCCAGGTAATATCTCCTCTGTAATTTCCCCCTGCCCTGGACCCTGGCTGTGCACCCTAATGGCAGCCAACATCACAATCTCAAAAGCCCCACATCTGTCTGCTCCCCAACCTCACAGATCCCTGCCCCTAGAACACTTGGCACAAGGTAGCCAATGGGTGTCCTGCAGAGAAAGGCCCCAGAGAAACCCTGTCCTTCTCCAAAGGGACAGGGAAATCACAGAGGAGAGAGGGACTATAAAACCTGAATAGTGGCCCTGGACCACAGGGGCGGGAGCCACACACAGACCCCTCTCACCCCAGCTTCATCTCTTCCTCTCAGTTCAAATGTTGTGGCAGTAACAGCTCGGCCGACTGGCAACACAGCACGTACATCTTGTCTCGGGAAGCCCAGGGTCGCCGGGTGCCCGACAGTTGCTGCAAGACAGTGGTGGCACGCTGTGGCCAGCGGGCCCACCCCTCCAACATCTACAAGGTGGAAGTAAGTGCTGAGGCCATCTAGGGGCTAGGGAAGGACCCCTAGAAAGTCCAGCTCATCAGGCAGGTGTGAGAAAGCAAAACACAAGCTTTGGCCTGGGATCACAGAGCCTGGGGCACCCCAAGGTCGGACAGAATACTAACAACTAACAGGTCCTCCTGAAAGTCTCAGACACCATGGACTATCCCCTGATGATCTCAAAATGGCTGGGAGAAATTCCAAGGCTAGCATTCCCCAGTCTCAGCTACATGCAGGATGACAGCCATTCGTCTCCCTGCTCTCCCTGCCCGTTGCTGGGCTAAGGTTGAGTAACCCACCTCCACCTTGCAGGGAGGCTGCATGGCCAAGCTGGAGCAGTTCCTGGCTGACCACCTGCTGCTCATGGGCGCAGTGGGCATCGGGGTGGCCTGTCTCCAGGTAAGTGGAGATGTCTCCCTTCAGCTGAAGTCTCAGACACCTGTCTTGAGGAAAGTAGCTGATGCTTTGCACAGGCATGCCTGGCCCTGCCCAACCCTTGCCCCCCCCCTTTCCCTTTGCAACCAAGGATGAACCACATTGTTGGTCTCAATCCTCGTAGAGCCTTGAACACCTTGACCCGAGTGTGGGATCAGGTACGTAGCATGCTCCCTGTGTGAACAGCACAGTCTTCTGGGTTTGTGAGCATCTCTGGCTGGCCGCATGTGTCTGTGTGTACATGATAGAGTGTGTGCCTGTGTGTGTGTGTTTAAGTTGTCTGTGCAAATATGCATGCATGTAGCTGACACCATTCCATGTGTGCACACGTATGCTTCCAGGAAGATATGCCCATCTCCCTGAGGATGGAGCTGCACTCTGCTCTCAGTGCCTCTCCCTACATGCCCCTCCTCTAGCCTCCATCCAAGAAGTGAGCACCAGCCCCATTATTTGCTCCAATCAAGGGATCTTAGGAGAGGAATCTGGAGGGAATCCCCAGGGGCTGAGCAGACACAGAAGGTAGTCCTCCCTCGTGTATACTCCTGTTTCCTTCCAATGGTGGGAGCTGTATGGTGGCTGCCCTTCTAGAAGGACCTAGGCTTCCTGCTGTCCTGCCCTGCACCTCCCACCCCACTACGGGGAAGTGGCATCCCAAGACGCGAAGGGACTGAATAGTCAGACACTGGGGTCCCAGTCTGGCTCTGGCTCCATATGACCTCAAGCCACTGCTTACCTGCCTTGTCCTTCAACTTTATCTGCAAAATGAGGCTCATTCCCTCATTCTCACACTGCCTACATAAGAGCCCAGGATGCACAGGAGAGCATGCTCCCCACAGGGCGCCTGGTGCACACACATGCCTCTGTGGGCAGGTGCGAGCTAGCTTCATCTGATTCGCTGTGGTCTCCGAGCATTTTCAGATGCTTAGTCCTAATGGATCCTCGCCCAAGACCCACGCCAGGGCGACAGAGCACTCTCCTCACTTCCCAGATCAGAGAACTGAGACCCAAAGAGACTACACGCAGGTCGCCCACCTAGATCTGCAGCATGGCTCCTAGCTTTGGCCCTTGGCTTTCCCAAGTGCATTACCCCCACACAGAGGCCTGTGGGAAGGAAATGCACGGGATGCTAATGTCACCTGGTTTGAGGAGACTGCAGTGTAGGGTTGTCTCCAGACCTTATTCTACTCCCCTCCCGGGGGGCTGGAGGCTGCCAGCTGCATCCTCACATGCTGGAAGGAAGTCCCCAGACTCTCAGGGGACTTCTTGATTCTGGTGCTGATGAGCTGGGCCACATGACCCAGGGCCAGTTATTTCATCTCTGAGCCCCAGTGGTCCTTTGCCTCCTGTGGTGGATAATCACGTGTGCAAATCGTGGGCCTCATTATCAAGCCAATACAGTTACCCCATAAAAGGTGCTCATAGCTTGTATTTCTACACAGGTCCATCATCTCTCCAAAATTCCCCAATGGCTACTTGTCTCATTCTGCTAGACTAGGGAGCCCAGGAGCACTACATAGCCCTTCTTGTACTTTCCTTGTAGTGAACCCAGAAGAGTTGCTGCTGGGACCGGGCAAGGTAACTCATCACTCCAGGTTCTGGCTCACTGGGGTTTCCTGAGACCCATCACACAGATTTTGAGGGGACTTCCCTAGAAGGACACTGACCAGGCCTGTTCCACCTCTATCCACTTCTTCCTGGCCTTCATCTGCAGAAATTGTAGCTAAAGGTAATGAGCCTGAGGGCCAAATATAGGGCTGCAAATGCTTAGAGCCCGAAGTCAGAGCAGATCAGTGTTGCTATATAAGTCTAATGTCCAAGGGCCAGGCCACTGGACAGGCAATGTGCCTGCAGGCCGTGACACCTCTCATACTATGAGTCTGCATTTCACCCCTTGCCCAAGTTGCTCCCTTGTGGTTGACGGAGCAGAGGCTACTAATGGCCAAGCCTCGGCTAGAGTGCCCTCTACTGGCCAGAGATGGACATTACTCATCCCAGTCCTCCAGGCAGCCTTGAGAAAGGGCCCAAATCAGCCCTTCTTCCCCAGAAGAGTAATGTTCCTCCCAATCAGAACAGACACCAGATCCCTACACACACACGTACACATACACACACACACACACATACGCACGCACGCACGCACGCACGCACGCACCAAGATCAGGAGATCATCCTAAAATGGTGTCCCTTGGTTTCCTTATCAGTAAGATAGAGAGACTGGACAAATTTTTTTAAGCAACAGCCAATGGACATTGCCACATAGGAGACTGGTCATTTAGGCCCAGAAGGCCAAGCTGTTGGCATCAAAACAGGAGGGAAGCCGAGTATAAGGGCCACCACTCACTGCTCTCGGGACCCTGAGATATAGTTTCCCGTACAGTTTGGAATCTGCTGCTATGTCCCATCCCTTAGCAACCTTAAGCTTCTATGGCCTGGAGATTCTGGTAAGGTTCCTATGTCACTGACAAGCCACCTTAGACAGATGCTCCGTGAACTCCAGAAACTAGGCAGGAAGTACGGGGCTGCCACTCTGATCTCAGTCAGGTGTCTGGTGGCCTGTCCATCATTGCCTCACGGACATGTCAACCAAATTGTTGCTCAGGGGAGATGATGACACTTACACTATGACATGTGTGCTCAAGAGAAATTATCACCTTGGCCACAAGTAGAATCCCTCAGCAAAGTTCGAAACCACCCAAGGCCCAGGGCTGTGTTCCAGTATGTGTGCATACAATGGACATGGCGGTTGCCAGACCTCGGTATATCTTCAAAGTCCCTCAGATTTCGGGGACTCCAGAGGAGCCGATTGGAGCTAGAGATGATGTAGGGGGTGGGAGAGGAAAGTCACCTGGGGACTTTCCCTGGGGTCTAGCAGCAAGGTGGGAACTATGGCTAGAATTTACAAAGAGGCTCATCAGAAGCCTCTGGATGCAAATGGAATGGCCCAGCCGTGGCCTTCACAGAGTGCTGAGGCAGAAGTTGAGTGGCAGGAATGCTAAAGGGTGAAACCCCTTTGGTCAGAGAGGTTATCCTCTGGGAACCCACTTGCTCCTCTCACTAGCGCTTGCAGGCTTGCCAGGGCCTCACTGTGCGGCTCCATACACTGAGGGTCCTGTCAGGCTATCAGATCTGTGCTCACTGGGGGCAGAGGGCTGCTGGTTCGCCATCTTATTCAGATACACTGAGCCTGACTAGCTAGTCCGAGAGATGGAATTCGCTCGCTGAAGATCACACAGCCACTGCGGCAGAGCCAACCAGGCCTCCTATTCCTGGTGCTCTTTCTTCTCCTCCGGCTTCCTCTCCTGTGGGTGGCTTTCCACTCTGGCATAATCTTAGAAAGTAATTTATAGAATATTCTAGCTGGGAAACTTTAAAAAGGTTATAGTAGCCCAGGGATTTTTTTTTCCTGGCTGTCCTCACACACAGAGGAGGAACTTCCCACCCAAGGGACACTCTGAGGAGGCTCAAGGGCATATGCATTGGCTTTGTAGAAGGCTGTGCTCTGCCCATGGAGAGCAGGTGTGGGGCTTTAACCTCTGAGGGAGAAGGGTAGACAAGTAAGTTGGACATTGCCCTGCAGTGAGGCCGCGTCAGCCTGTGCATTGTATTCACAGGAGAAAATGGAAGCTGCCTTGGCCATTCTTGAGGCCAAGAAGACTTCCTGGAGGAGGTGGTGGATACTAAGTTAATAGCAGGAAGTGGCTACAGAGTGGATGAGGAGTCAGGGGTAGCACCTGGAAAGATCTGACTGGCTCATGTGGTCAGCCTGAGTCCTGCAGGCCCTGCTAGCCTCTCTCAGATGTGAGAGGGGCTTGGTTCTAACAAAGGAAGAATTTGCCTACCAGGACAGGCTTAGAGATGGACGTAATCACTCCGAGGTCACACAGCCTATAGGTGCCCAGCTGAAATAAAACCTACCTGGACAGCCCACAAGTAGAATGCTAATGTGTTTTAGAGGCTAGAAAACAGGTGATCCTGGGATCTGCAGGTTATTAAAAGGCGAAGGGCCATACCCTTCATGTGGGCCACGCCAGAGTTTCTTTTGTGCTGTCCAAAGACTACCGGGTGCTTGCTGAAAGGCCTCGAAAGAAACCAAGAGCATCAATAGCCTCTGTTAAAAACACACATGAGCAGGCCGGGCGTTGGTGGCGCACGCCTTTAATCCCAGCACTCGGGAGGCAGAGGCAGGTGGATCTCTGTGAGTTCGAGGCCAGCCTGGCCTCCAGACAAAAGCCAAGACAGGCTCCCAAGCCACACAGAGAAACCCTGTCTCAAAAACAAAACAAAACAAAACATGTGCAGTCAAGTGCTATACCCAGCAGCTCCTCCAGAGATGCCCCCCCCCGCCCCCTGCCCTGTGCAAGTGGAGTTGGTGGCAGCAGCCAAACCCAAGAGATAGCTTACCCTCAGCTATGTTGTACTCTCTCCAGGAACGTCTCTGTGTTGTTTCATGTCAGTGTGCTGGCTGCTTGGATCATCCACGCTGGGCTTCTCTGTGTCCTCTGCCAAAAAGGAGACACTAGTACTCCCTTGGGACCTAGTGAGCTGCTGTCCATTACCCTCTGCACACTTCAGGGTGGATATGCGTGTGTGTGTGTGTGTGTGTGTGTGTGTGTGTGTGTGTGATCAAATCATGCAATTCAGGATCAGGGTGTGTGCATGTGTATGTGTCCCTGTGCACACATTAATAAGTGTACCCTGCCACAGAGTTCAGGGCGAAGTATGTCGTCACATGCGTGTATGTTTTGCATGGATTGATGAGAGTGCTGCCTCATGCACTTGCTATGATTGCTAAAGGGCACCCATCTCAAATATATAATGCATGTCAGGGAGTTCGACTCCTGCAAGACCATCTAGAGTGGATTATATGCTGGGGAGAGGTGGACACAGCCTACAACACACATAGACCGGTCCAAGAGGCTCCTCCCGCCGGCCCCGTTGTGTGCATCGGAAAAACCCTGATAACCCATGAGAAAAGCATCCAACCATGAGATGGAGAGAGGAGCATGCCACAACCCCTGGGTACATGTCTGTGGATTTGCTGTGACTGTGCCTGCTTAAAGCCAGTGGAGGTCAGATAACCTCTTAAGCCGCCTGTGGGTTTTTGAGCCCCTAGTCCCCAAGGTGGATTAGCAAGGCTCTTAGCACTGAGGCTAAAGCTGAAAGCAGCGGGTAGCCTCAGCTATTCACCCTGCTGGATCTGGCGCAGGGGAGTGGTGAAGAGATAAGCCTGTCCTTGATGACCAGAAGATAACCTGACAAGGACAGGCAGCTGCCTCAAGCTATGATCATTTTCATGGGTCTAGTCCTACTCTGGCTGGAGCTATGATCATTTTCATGGGTCTAGTCCTACTCTGGCACCCAGGCCTGCACAGCCAAGGTCAGGTCTGCAGAATAAGCCCAGAGAAAGACAGGACTCGCATAGAGGTACTCACCTTCATCCCTATGCCATGCGACAGCTGTGGTACTGCTACACAGGGCTCCTGTCCTACACACAGAGTGGAGACCAAGCAATGACACTGTCGCCATCAGGACCAGGATGACAGCAATGAGGCACCTTGTTCTGTCACAACCCTGTCTCCTGGTCCTCAAGGCATCCCTGGATGGGAAGGAGGAGAGGGGTAAAGGGCAGCTTCAGGGGTGGGAGAGCAAAGAGCACTGGCTGGAGAATGCAGTTTCTCTGTAGTTTGAGAATGGGAACCGTCTAGGAAACTGGGCAGGTGCGATCCTCTGTGTCCTTGTTCCTTCCTTGTTCAGCCGTGGATCCAGGAGGGGTACTGGAAGGCACAACACTAGAGTCCCCACGCTGAACTCATAGGAACACTGAGTCCTCCTCCCGGAATTATGGTGACTTTGGTTTGGTTCTGGAGCCCTGGGGCAGCAGGAAACAGGAAGCAGAGATGCTTCCGGGCAGTTCTGGTGTGAGCAGCAAAGTCCTCACAGAAGAGCCACATAAACAGAGCTGTCTATGGAAAACCTCTAGGTCCACAGGCCAGTAGCCAGGCTGGGGTGGGTTCTGGGAAGGATAGCAGCCACTGGGCCCCAATCCAGGCCCACAGGTTTGAATGTGTTGTGTAAGCAGGTTCTCGTGATTCGAGCCCATTCTAACACAGAAGTCATGCCCTTTGGGGAGCCTCTCTCATAGCCTCCCAGCCCTCCTGGGCTCCTGGGAGAAAAGCAGGTCCTTCCAGATGGGCAGGGTCTGAAGGGGTGCAGATCTCCAGCCCTCTGCAGTGTGAGCAACTGCCTCCCGGCTTTCAGTCAGCAGCCTGCGGGATTCTCATGTCTCTTCGCTCTCTGTTCTCTCCATCTGGCAGATCTGCGGGATGGTTCTCACCTGCTGCTTGCACCGAAGGCTCCAGCAACACTTTTATTAAAGGATGCCCCTGTAGCCTGCCGACTGCCCCACACAAGGGCCCACATTCCCACATCCTGAACCAGGCCTGCAAAGTCAGCAGCTGGGTCATGGACTCCCCCGACCCTATGAAGAGCCCACCAAGTGCCTGTGATTGGGGCTCCTGTGCATCCCACCTGGGCAGGGTCCTCGGCTCACTCCTCCATTTATAAGCACTCATTTCTGCCAGAATCCTTGGCAAGGAATGGTCCTGGCAAGAGGCAGCCAGAGCCCTTTGCCAGGCATGGGGCACTGTAGACTACAGGAGTGCCTGAGCCTGGAACAGAGGCTGCCAGATGGGTCCTTCAAGACTCTTGTAAGGCTTGGTGTTCGATTCCCACTGGCATGGGGTCCCAGCCAGCTCTCCTCAGAGGAAGGCACTGCTTTGGGCAGGCTGGGTTAGCTAGTTAGCTCTAGCCAGTAAGCTCTAGCCATGTCCTTCCCATAGGGCCTAGGACAACAGTGACCTAAGATGGGTCAGCTTAAGGCCAGGCTGTTGGAGCCACCAGGACACAGCACTAAGGAGGCAGGCTGGTTACAGTAGGGTGTGTGGCGCCTGAGAGACACATGACGATCACAAGTCCCAGCCCCCAGTGATACGTCTTGTCCCCAGTCTTGACTCCCAGACTTTATGCCAGGTTTAAAATGTTAGTGAATTAAAACTTCACCAGTGGACCACACCTCGGGCTGGTAAGTCAGAGCTGCCGAGGAGAGGAAGCTGTGAGGAAGGAGGTACTCTGCCTGCACCCCATTTCCCGGTGCCTCCGAAACCACAGTTTCCCTTCCACTATGTTCTCTGCTTCCTTCAGTATTACGGAGTAGACACCGTTCTCTCCTTAGCTTTGAACGAAATAGAGACTATTCAGGAAAAACTCCCAATGTGTTAAAAGAGACAGAAAGAAAATCCTAGGAAAATTAGAGGTTGGGAGTAGGTATCAACTCAGAGACAACCATAGGGTCCCTTCTCCAATGATGTTTACTTTGGACAGCTTTGCACACCAGGACTCCAAACCATCTTCAGCTCCTCTAGGGTCCTGCTCATCTCTCCACAATAACAAACCTCAGCTCCCATATGAACCAGTGGCCTCTTGTTGACCAAAAGTGCTCACAACTTGCCTTCAACCTGACCCAGTTCTTACTACACTGCACTGGATCCTGCTGAGGAGCTGGGCCAGTTGTTGTGGGGAGAAGATGAACTCCCAGTCATACATGGGTGGACCAAGGGCCACTGGTCGCTGTCACCAGCATAGGTCTGAAATTCCCTTCTCAGGGCAGGACATAGTTGCACTGACAGAGGGAACATCAGGCTCTCACCGGGTCAGCCTCCTCCACTCTGGGATTCTCCAGGGGCTATGTGGAGCCCAGGCAGGTTTATGCCATCTGCCTGAAGGGCCCTGTGTTGTCTGTACAAAGTCGATATAAAAAAAAGACACTCCCAACAATCCCAGACTATACTAGGAACAAGAAGAAAGTCTTAGCTACCCTCCACCTTCCCAGATTCTTGCAGATATTCCAAGACTGGCTTTGATCTCCAGGATTATAGATTCTACAAGACTCATATAGAGGGGGGTTGAGGGGAAAAGGGTGTGGGGCCCAAACCATGTTCTTCCAAAAGAGGCACTGAGGGATATGACAGTATATAAAGGGATACTGTGGCCTTGGGCATCTGCTTTGGTAGGTTTCCTTAATCCTCAGGGAGATAAGGACAGAGGTGACAAGTGGGGACCATTTGTACAGCCTCAATGCAGAGGCAGTCCAGGAGAGCATGGCTCACTGACCCCAGTCAGAGCTGCAGAGTGAGTGGACAGCCCCAAATGTGACTTCTTTGATCAAACAGCCTTGGTGACAAGATGAGGTTAGAGGACATGAAACACATAGTAGGCCAAGTTCGGTCCAGTAGCTGCCAAGGCTGGAGCCAACGATGGAATCTGTAGTGAGTTGTCCATCAGATCTATGCTCAGGATATTTCCTCCTATTTATCCCCAGGGACAGGTCCCTATTCAGAGACTGTCACTCTGAGTTCCCTAGAGAGCGGGAAGGACATACCTACAGAATGTCATCCTTAGTCCTGGGTCAGCACAAACATACTGGGATCCCACAGCAGGCCCTCAACTTGACATAGCTGAAGCCAGCATATCCTCACCCTGAGCAAGAATCACCTTTCCCTAAGCTCAAAGTGGCCACCTAAAAAAATCCAGCATGCCCCCAAATCCCCCAGGTGGCCAGTGTTTGGGGAACAAGGGTGAACCTTAGCCTATGATAAGGAGATGTGGCGTCTCCATGCATTTGTCCCCTTCCCTCATCACCTCCCATAGCAACTCTGGCCATGGCTTTGGAAATGCTCACCGAGGACCTGTCTATGTCTCCTTCAATATGTTATCCATATTGACACCAGTGGGATGTGCTGTAGTCCCCATTCTGCAGATGAAAAAACTAAGGCTTGGTCAAGTTGAACATCATTGGTGGTGGCTGACAGGGAACCAGCCAGGTGGGCCCAAAGAAAGCAGGAGTGGAAGCCCCTCTCCCCTAGCTGTCAGGTTGGCATCCTAGATGGTATGACCAAACAAGGACAGCCTTAACACGACCCAGGTTGAACAGAACCGCCCAGCATGTCCAATGCCAGCAGCTTCTTGCATTCACAGTTGAAGCAGACATTTCATTATTTCAGAATGGCAAGGCCCTATGGGGAAGCTAAGGAGGCCAGAGCTCCTAGGAATGGTCCAGGCCACACAGGGCAGGGAGGCTTTCCAGCCATTATAGTGAGAGCAGGGGCTGCTGTCTTTAGTGCTCAGCCTCCATAGAGATGGGAACCACACCCTGTGAAGATGATTGGCTGGGATGTGAAATGCCTCTCCCTGCCCCATAAAGGAGGTCAGGAGAGAAGCCCAGATTGTATCCACTCTTAGTCACCCCAGGCATGAGGGTGCCCTGGCTGGTGATGCTGAGGAGCCTCCCTCTCAGGCAAGTCCGTCTCTGTCTTCTTAACCCCACCCCCAATCCCCTATATGAAACATTTGTTGTTTCTGGTCTCTAGAGCGGACACAGGGTGACTTCTGTCTTGAGCCCTCTCACCCTTCGCATGATCATAGAAGGTTCATCCCCGAAAGGTACTGACTTTAGGGAGGACATGCTGCAGGTCAGTGTGGTGGGCCACTGTGAGCTTAGAACCTCCCACTCTGGACAGCATCCAAGGTTTTCAAGTCAAGGGAATGAGTGGACCAGATAAAACCCTACCTGCTTTGAAAATGCCCTCTGCCCATTGGCTCTACTGGGCTAGGGCAAAGAGGCAAGAGGAGGGAGGGCAGCTGAAGCTGTTCAGAGAAAAAGCAGCCATCTTTGTGACCGCCCGGCGGCACTTAGACTCTCCATGGCTGGTGAGATGTGTCTTACACCTGCTCTCCCCTCAGCACCTCCAAGGGAGCCTTCAGAAGAGGGTGCGGCTTTCCCACAGTTGCTCTAAGAGAGGCCAGAGCCAACAGTTGGCATGCCTGCTAAGTTCCCAGGTGGTGGAGATGCCACCGACTGGCAACCCCGCCAAACCACAGTGTGGACCACACAAGGACACTGCTACCTTCCTTAAGATGTCACAGCCCTCAAGGGTCAAAAGCCATTCAAGCCATCTGGCTTGAGTCACACACAGAGCTGCTTGAGACTGTTCCCACTGGGGGGGTTGAAGCCAACCACTCAGTGGTTTACAACCAGTCATGTGCATGGCTGGCACTCCTGCCCCTACTGAGCATGCTTGGCACTCCTGCCCCTACTAAGACTATGACTTTGGCCAGTAGGATAGATGCCCCTTACACTCCCAGATCCCACCTTCTTCTATGTGCCTTGGGGTGGCCCTGCTGTGTCCTGGTCACTCTAGCTGGATATCAAGCTTCCCCCATTCTTCCCCTCCCGTTTGTATACCTGTGAAAGCTGCTCCTGCCCAGTACTAACAGAAGTTCCAGAGAGCCCATTGTTAGGATTCCAGACAGGCTCCTGGGTCTAGTTGGCCCATGGATGTGGGACATCAGCTACTCTACAAAGACAGAAATTGCCTTCCCCTACTGCCTAACCACGAAACTCCAGATGTGAGATGCGCCTCTCCACTGACCTCAACATAAGCCCAGTGCCTTGTGCTACCAGACTCGGTAACAAAGGACTTGTACCAGAGTGCCTTCTGCTGATCCAGGGTTGCGAGGAGATCCCAGGTCCTCTGTTCACCAAATGCACGGGGTCCCCCACTGAAGCCTCTGTCTTGGTAATGGTTTCCCTACAGTGCTCACTGACTGCAGCCATCAGGAGCTATTTTCCCCTCATTGGTCATCTCCCAATTTGTCTGGAAGGATCTCTTCTGTTCATGAGTGCCATTAATCCGACGCTTTGGGCCACTAACAAGGGCTGTGCTGAAAAAACTGTATTTTGGTTACAGCTTCCTGTCCTCAATCAGTGAGTATGTTTGTGTGTCCCTGCCACCTGCCACCTGCCACCTTCATGAGCTGGCACTGAATCTGTGGAGACAGGAGGAAACTGAAAGTTTGAGGCCAGGCTTGGCTACTAAGTGAGTTCCAAGCCACCCTGAGCTAGTGTCACAGTTTGTTTAAAAAACCAACAAACAAACAAAATCAAGATGTGTGAGATGACTCCACACGTAAAAATTCTTGTTGCATACACCTGGCGACCTGGGTTGGACCCCAGAATCCACTGTGAAAGAAGAGAACACTAGCCCAAGTCTGCTTCCTGATTTCCACATACGCACCATAGACCATGATACCTACTGATCTCTCCCTCTCTCTCTCTCTCTCTCTCTCTCTCTCTCTCTCTCTCCTCTC